GGAGTTTGAGGTTGCTGTGAGCTAGGCTGACGCCATGGCACTCACTCTAGCCCGGGCAAAAGAGTGAGACTCTGTCTCCAAAAAAAAAAAAAAAAAAGGTCCTTTTCATCAATTAATTTATGCCAGATAGTTTTGTTACTTGTAGTTAAGTTTTCTGATGAAATTAGATTTTAGGGTTATGTTTCCTGTGTAAGAGGTAGTGACTTACATCATGCTAGGGAATATAAAAAAGTTCTGCTTTCTGACAATGTCAGCTTCTTCAAGGGAAGTGTAGAATTATCATCAAGGATTGTCAGCAAATAAGAGTGCTATATTTAAAAGTGCTTGTATTTGCCTTTCTAACATGCCAAATTGTAAATACATAAGATATAATTTATTAACTCCTAATGAAATGTGTAGAATTTTCATGAATTTTTTTTTTTTTAAGACTCAGGGTCTTGCTGTGTTGCCCAGGCTGGAGTGCAGTGGTAGGATCATAGTTCACTGCAGCCCAGAAGTCCTGGGCTCAAGCAGTACTCCCACCTTGGCCTCCCGAAGTGTTGGGATTTATAGGTGTGGGCCACCATGCCTGGCCATGAAATTTTTTTTAGTGTCCTGAAATTTTTATTTACAGATATAGGACACATTTTTATGGAATAAAAATTAGAATATAGAGTCTATCAGAATATTTTCTCAGATTTATTAATTTATGAAAAACAATTTTAATTATGCCAAAATTACGAATTTTAAGTTTTCTTTTAACTCCTTCGAAAAAGAAAATTGAATAGCAAATAAAAAAAATTAAACTGTCACTTGCAAATGGACACAAAATAGTTGGATTTATTTTGCCTTTAAGTAAGGAGTGTTTGAAAGCATCTCATTTTTTTCCACCAAGATCGTTAGTTAATGAATTAAAGTGAAATCTCTGAAATAGGTATATTTAGGTACAGTTTTTTATTTTAATAGAAGTCTTTTAAGATTTTTAAGTTATTCTGATTTTATCTTAGATTGAGTACTTTTTTTAGAATATAAAAATTCCTAGAAACCTGAGAGATTGATTTCAGCTAAGTGTTCTAGAAAGGTTATGGGTAGTTTAGTAAATATTTAAGAAATGAGAGTAATAAAATAATATGGTACAGTCCTTTGCTGCAGCGAGAAATTTAAGTGTTAAGAGAGAGCCATTTTACAAGTCACTCCCTCATACATAATGTAAATAGTCTAAAAATAAGAAACAACATTTTAAAACCATGTTTTGTAAAATTATTGACATGCAACAATAACCTTGACTTTATTTTTTGCAGATATGGCCGTGTGGAAAGTGTCAAAATTCTCCCCAAGAGGGGATCTGAAGGAGGAGTGGCTGCCTTTGTGGATTTTGTGGACATCAAAAGTGCACAGAAAGCTCACAACTCAGTCAACAAAATGGGAGATAGAGACCTACGCACGGATTATAATGAACCAGGCACCATTCCAAGTGCTGCTCGGGGATTGGATGATACAGTTTCCATAGCATCTCGTAGTAGAGAGGTTTCTGGGTTCAGAGGAGGTGGTGGAGGGCCTGCTTATGGCCCCCCACCGTCACTTCATGCACGAGAAGGACGTTATGAGCGGAGACTTGATGGGTAAGTTCCAAGGTTTCTCTAGGCAGGTATTTTGTATTTGATATGGTGAGAAACAGAAACTCATATTTAGGGGCCCCAGATGGATTTAAAATTTTGGGCATTCTCAATGTTTCCTATTTTGGGTTGGAAACGGAAGTGATTTCTATCCCAATGGCTGGTATCTTATGGAATCGTAGAGGATATTTCCTGCAGCTGATTGGATATCTACTCCTGAGATATAAAATGGTGGAAGATTTCCTGTGGCAGCATCATTTTTGGAGTTACCTGTCTTCTAGAATTAATTATTGCTTCTCCTGGATAATGTTAAGACCTTTCTTGGATATATCCTTTCTACCTGATGGAGCTATTTGGCTTTTGTGGTCATACTATATGGAATATTTCCGGAATATTAGAGCCTACAGATTCTTTTAGGGTTGGTATCTGCTTCTCCAGTTTCACCACATACAGTGTACAAATGAATTGGATTGTCACAAAAAATTCTAGCAGACCGTAATGATTCAACCACTTGGATTCTACAAACAATACTTTAACATGGAAATGTGTACTTGGATGAAGAAGAGAGAAGTCAATGCTTGATTTTTCCATTTTGGATCTACACAATTTCTGTGTTGTTGGAATTATACTCCTTGATGGAATGGGGGAAAATTGAGATGATGGACTTTCCTAAATCTTGGAATATAGCCATCCTTTTCTAATTGCTGGAATGTATGGGATGTCATGCTGTCAAGACTACATTAGCCCAGGGAAGAGGATTACTGTATCTTTTTTAAGCAAGTTTCCGTCCAGTTAAAGGTACTTTAGCGTTGAACACGTGGTGATGATCAGTTGTGGATACAGCAATCAGAATTGACTAAGCTGGATGGCTACAAAAGTGAACTGTTGGCGATCCACTGTGCCTTCCTCATTTGTTGGAATTGTAAAGAATATTTCCTCTTCTGCCAGCTGCTTGATTCATACTTAGGGATGGATTTTTATGAATGTGGATCAATTTATAATTGTCTACTGCCTCAAGAAAGAAGTCTGGGGGTTTGAGAGTTACAGTTTGTCTGGGACTTCTTGCTTCCAGTGGAATTATTTTGTCTGGTCACTAAGATTTTTTTTTTCCTTGTGGTTCATCTAAATATCATTTGACACCCTTGCCCATTAAGAAGGTGGATTACCCCCATAAGTGGGGCCAAAATTGGGGAAGTTATATTCACAATTCTCTCCCTAGATTTTAATTGGGATTATAGGTCGTGTTTCCACACTTGGAAAAGGTTGGTATGTCCTGACCTGTGTATATTAGCCCCTCTCCTAACCCAAAGTCAAACTCTCCCCCCCCCCACTAACTCTAGAAGTATTTAGTACTAATAGATGAATCAGAGAATAGCCATTAGATTTCAGCTCTGCTAGCTCTTGTGCCTGCCTTCTGCATCTTCATAATGGATAAGAACTTTTGCGTATTATAAAATAGCAGCTATAGCAGTAATTCTCCTAGAACTTTTGCCTGTTGCTTCTGTTATCATTAATAATGGCTATCACTGATTAACATTTGATAGGATGCTAAATGAATTACTTATGAAATTTTCTCTTAAGTCTCAAAGGAATCCTCCTTATTTGTTGGACAATGAAATATCCAAATTTCAGAATTACAGTGAATAAAAAAGGAGAAAGTCATTTAATACATTTAAGTAGGGAAGATATTACTGAATTTTTTTGTTGTGCCAGTTGCTTTCCATAATAGCAGCCAAAAAGCAAAACTAGCCTGGGAAGGTGGGGTTGCTCCTAAGTGAAATAGTGGGTGAAAATAAATATTAGTAGAAAGATATTTGGAACATAGGCATGTATTAGTGACATATTGTTTTAAGCTTTTGCCAGATATTCTTTGAAGAGATTCTAATTTTTTGTCTTTCATGATTCCTTAATCCTTTTTTTTTTTTTTTTTGAGACAGAGTCTCACTCTCTTGCCTGCAGCGAGTGCCCTGGCGTCAGCCTAGCTCACAGCAACCTCAAACTCCTGGGCTCAAGCGATCCTCCTGCCTCAGCCTCCCAGGTAGCTGGGACTACAGGCACCCGCCACCATGCCTGGCTAATTTTTTTTCTATTTTTAGTTGTTTGGCCGTTTTTTTTTTTTTTTTTTTTTTTTTTTTTTGAGACAGAGTCTCGCTTTTGTTGCCCGGGCTAGAGTGAGTGCCGTGGCGTCAGCCTGGCTCACAGCAACCTCAAACTCCTGGGCTTGAGCAATCCTTCTGCCTCAGCCTCCCGAGTAGCTGGGACTACAGGCATGCGCCACCATGCCCGGCTAATTTTTTCTATATATTTTTAGTTGTCCAGCTAATTTCTTTTTATTTTTTTTAGTAGAGACGGGATCTCGGCTCTTGCTCAGGCTGGTCTTGAACCCCTGAGCTCAAACGATCCACCCGCCTCGGCCTCCCAGAGTACTAGGATTACAGGCGTGAGCCACTGTGCCTGGCCTAGAATTAGTTTTTAATATTAACACATAATTGCACGCATATAATTGTACATGCAATACTTTTATATTCTTAGGTTGAGAAATATTCACACCCTACTAAAGTATTTTTTAAATCAAGTTAAGCAACTTTAGGGTATCTTATTTTCCCAACATTGCCTAATTTCATCACAGACAACTTGAATATAGCTTAAAGCTAAGAGAACATGTTTCCCCTGTTAAGTACATACATTATCAAATCGAATCATGGAATGGACATTTTAAAATTTACGTGGAATTTGATAGCACAAGGAGAGAAAATAACTACTGTTCTTTAGTTAAATTTACATAGAATAGCATGTAGTGACCCAATATCGATTTTTTTTGAAATGATTTCAGTTTTATTATTAAATGTAATTGGGCACTGCTGTGTAGTCTGTGTAGTCTAGTAATTTTTTATAATTACCTAAGCAGTCAAAAGTTAATGAGAAAAAGTTACACTTACAATTTTCTTTCTGGGCTTCCTTGAAAGTCCTTCCTACTTTGGGACATGCACTGCAGCAGGGCTTTCATGTCTATGTTGAAATGTAGTGTGGAAATGTGGCCTAAAGTAAATTTGCAAGTAGATATAAGTTTGGTATGTATTTTAATCAGGTGAAAGTATAAAAAACTTTGATATTAAAATGACAGTCTCTTCTTGTTCCATTAAACTTAAAATGAAAAGGAAATGGTATATGCATATTTCTTCATACAAGTCAGAAAATCCCTTATAAAATGAGCAACTGACCTGCAGAACACTAGTCATGAAAGCCCAGTATACAATTAAAACAATCATTGCTCAGCTGTGAAAATAATTTTTGGAGTCAAGTAAAATGTTAAGCTTGTTAGTGTTTGCTTACTAAGTAGGTTAATGCTGTTTAGAAAATGACCAGTTGCAAAGACAAAGACAGTGCTGAAGTGAATGTTTGCATGACTTGCTTTTAGTTTTGCTTGCTCCTTTCTGATTAAATATTTTTCCCCCCTCCTAAATGCAGGGCTTCAGATAACAGGGAGCGTGCTTATGAACATAGTGCCTATGGACACCATGAACGGGGTACGGGAGGATTTGATCGGACAAGACATTACGATCAGGATTACTATAGAGATCCTCGAGAGCGGACTTTACAACATGGGCTCTATTATACTTCTCGGAGTCGAAGTCCAAACCGCTTTGATGCTCATGACCCCCGATACGAACCTAGGGCTCGGGAGCAGTTTTCACTGCCCAGTGTGGTACACAGGGATATCTACAGGGATGATATTACCCGGGAGGTACGAGGCAGAAGGCCAGAGCGGAATTACCAGCACAGCAGGAGTCGTTCACCACATTCATCCCAGTCTAGAAATCAGTCTCCTCAGAGACTGGCTAGCCAAGCGTCTAGACCCACAAGGTCCCCTAGCGGCAGCGGCTCTAGAAGTAGATCCTCCAGTAGTGATTCAATCAGCAGCAGCAGTAGTACCAGCAGTGACAGGTAGGTTAACAGCCTTTTGTTATAACAGACAAGCTGTTAAACAAATTCTCAGCCATCAATGGTAATGATTTTAGCATAGTAATTTTTTTAAAGAAAGTAATCATGGATCATGTATGTATGTAAAGAGTAAAGAAACTTTGATTAGCATGTGGCCATTGATCATTTGGTCAAATGCTTGAAGCCAAGTGATTTGCAAGTGCTGTTTTATCCTCCAGATGCTTAATATGAAAATTAAATTGCTAAAAAGGATGAGAAGTGGTGACTTCAGCTGTGTCAAGCAAATCTTGTGACACTGAAAATGTGATATCTCTTTAAAGTTTTTAATTTCTCAGGTGTATAATACCAATTCTATTATTTTGGTTGAACATCTGTAAAAGCTGTTTGGTTAAATGTGTATTGGTGAAATATATTGTTGACATATTTATTATCAATGACTAAATCAACTTAACACATTTTAACTAATTTTAACATCAAGGTGGTAGCCAGTTTACAAACTCAAGTGTAAAAGCTTTCTTTAAATGCAAGTTGTAACTGTCCTGTTTGTTCTCTAAGGCTGGGTAAACTCATTTCATTAGTTGTGAATTTTTTACAAAGAAGTTTTATTCTGAAAAATGAAAATAATTGAAGGTAATCTTAATAAGGAAACTTAGCTTAGAAGCAAGGCATATGGGTTTTGAAATCACAGATCTAGGTAGATGGTATAGATTACTTTTAGTAATCTTGGACAAATTACTTATGCTCTCTATGCCTCAGCTTTCTCATTTTTTTATAAGGACCTTCATACAGTCATTGTGAAAGTTAAAATGAAAACTTCATGTAGTGCTTACCATAATGCTCAGTACATATTAAATAAATACTGCCATTAATAATTGCTAGCTATTATTACTACTTCAGATGGTGATAGACTTTGGGCATTTTCCATTTCCAGTTATTGTTATTCAACCTATTAATCTCATGTGTCTTAGTTTTAAATTTAGGTGGCGTTTATTTTAGATTTACAGTATTCAAATTCTTTGACCCGATTAAAAGGCTCAGATTATTTTTCTTTCAGTATTACCTGCTTAAAATCAATTTAAGAAAAGCAATGGTCATGTAATTGAATGGCTGTTTTTAGGCTTTCTAAATCTTCTAATTCAAAATAATGAAACATTTTGTTTATCTGCCTAACAAACAGTTTGGAAGATGTCACATATTAAAATGAAACAAGCACGTAGTTTAGGAAATCAGGAAAGTTAGCTTCTGGCTTCAGTTTTGCAGCTCTGTGACATGGATGAAAACCTTTAACTTTTTTCATTTCATTTGGTATGCTGTATAAATGATTGATGAAATTCATTCGAACCCTATAAGCTGATTATAAAATCTTGTGTTTCGCTTTGGCCTGCATAGAATTGTCTAAATTACTGAAGTTTTAGTCATTTTCCCCAAACCTATGTCATTAATGGTGCTGCTGCATTCCATTAGATCAAAACTTACTGAAAAGACAACCTGTTGTGGAGATGTAAAAGTTAGAGGAGAATGATACAAGGCTTTCAGAGTGGCGTTATATACTTTGGTCAGAGTTACAGTGATTTGGGATCTGTCCTTCAGAATTGTGGGCCCAAAGCTTGAGCCCAGAGGTGATCTGATGAATTTGATGGAGCTAATTGCTGCTCACATAATAAGAAAAAGCAGCTCTATGTTTCTGAATATTTATGATCAGAAAGCTAACTGCTAGAAGGGCAGTATGCACTTAGAAAACTGAGGACTAAATTGCAATAAAAAAGTTGATGAGCAAGAGGACTTTTGTGATTATTATATGAAGTTATGATGGCTAGATTTATCCACTTATACCAAGGGATGCAACCTGGAGGTTTGGAGTGTCACATCTGACCAGCAGACAAGTTTAATTTGCCTTGCGTAGTGTTTTAAATTTAAATCATTGCCAGTGTTTAAAAACTTGGAATTTAATATGCAAGTCCCGATTTGGGCTCCTAGTCCGTTCCTTCCCTCTGATTTGCACTGTAGGACCGTATCTGATAAGGAGGTAAGAACTCTGAAATTTGGTTGAAGGCAACTTCTTCCTGTGGGCTTTAGGGAACAATCACTGGCAGAGTCTTGCTGTTTCCCCCTTTCCTATGTCTCTGTAGATTCTTCCTTGTATTAAAATGTTTTTTTTCTTCTGAGAAATTATAGTACATTTACTTAGGTTATTGGTTTCCTTTCACAAATAGTCATATTTTCTAGAGCTAACAGATTTCTTTCTTTCTTTCTTTTCTGTAAGAGACAGGATCTTGCTCTCTTTTCCAGGTCAGAGTACAGTGGTGCAATCATAGCTCACTGCAACCTCCAACTCCTGGGCTCAAGCAATCCTCTTGCCTCAGCCTCCTGAGACTACAGGTGTGCGCCATCATACCTGGCCAATTTTTTTTTTTTTTTCATTTTTTCATGGGGTGGGGAATCTTGCTATGTTGCTTAGGCTGGTCTTGAATTCCTGGCTTCAAGTGATCCTCCTGCCTCAGCTTCCCAGAGTGCTAGGATTACAGGTGTGGGCCACCACGCCTGGCTCAGATTTCAACCATATTATTTACAGATTGCTTTTAGTTGGTTACGTGAACCTCATTAATTTACTGATTCCGTCTAGTTTTACTGATGTGACAGCTATGTAATGACAGCTTTTGTATTTATACATAAAAAGAACAGTGGGGGAATGGAAAGAGGATGATTTTGACTACTAAGAGGTAGCATTTAGTTGGGCTCTGAAGGATACGTAGGACTTCAACAAGAAGAAAGGAGTTTTAGGATAGACAGGGAACATAGTGGGCAGAAGGAACAACCTGAAGAGATACAAATAGGTGGAAGAATGTTTTGGTAACAGCAAATAATTTAGAATGATCTAACCATGCTAATGATTTTGGGTTTATTCTATATGCAGAGATGGGCTGTTAAAGGATTTTAGAATGGAGATAGCTTGTTGACATCTGTGCTTTTAGAAAGGCAACTGGTGACTTAGCCATCTATCTTAATACCTTGGAGAAGGAAAACTTGGACTGTGAGAGTGCCTAACTTGGGACAAATGAGAAAGACATTATATTAAGAATCAGATTATGCTGATTTATGAAAAACAGAATTAACTTCGGTGATATGACTGAATAAAAGGACAGGAGCAGGTAGTCTTAGTACATACCATAGAACCCAGTATACTGCCTTTCTCAGAGTACATGTTCAGTCAATAGTTGAAATACTTAGATACAGTTCTTAGTTAACATGAAGGATAAGGCACAATTGAGGGAGATAGCTAAAAGTTTTGGTAATTTAAATTGTGACTGAAGCAAGCACACAGAAATAAAAATCCTCTTGTATTCAGAGCTTATCCAATATCTCTGGATTCAGCTTCCCTTCATCAGCTGTCTTCTTTTCCTCTATAATTATATTGAATTCAAAGTGTAGTATTTTCACATATATGTAAATTCAGAATGTTCGGTTTCCTTTTGAAAGAAATAGATTCTTTTTTGTAATCCTTAACACTTTACAAGTGTGAAGCTGACATTTCTGAAAGTCCTTTAAAGATGTTTAAAATTAGCACTTGTATAGTGGACAAAAGGTAGCTTGGTTTTACCTACAGAGACAAGTTCCTGTCCCCATGACTGACTGGGAAATTAATCACCCTCCATCCCTCCTTAATTGTTACAGCTTTGGTGAACAGATTCCTAGCAATGCATTTTAAATGAGTAAACATGGGATTAATGGCAGTCTAGTTGTGAAGTTCTTATAAATTACACATCTACTGTTTCTGCAAAACCATTCACAGTATTTAACTGGTGAGAACTGGGGCTTCAGGTCCCATGTGCTGCCCTATGCTGCTGTAGGTCTCTTTCATTATCTGTCATGGCCATTTATTGAGCCAGTTTTCCTTTCAACAGAACTTTTTTTTTTTGAGACAGAGTCTCACTGTGTTGCCCGGGCTAGAGTGCCATGGCGTCATCCTAGCTCACAGCAACCTCAAACTCCAGGGCTCAAGCAATCCTTCTGCCTCAGCCTCCCGAGTAGCTGGGACTACAGGCATGCGCCATTCAACAGAACATTTTAAATGTATGAATTTAACAGAAGCATTTATTTTAAAATCTCTTTAATGAGGTCGAACATATTTTATTTTTATAATTCCCTGTCATTGGTTTTTTTTTTTTTTCCTATCAGGTTGTAAGAATTTTCTTTAATGTAGGCTAAAATAATTGAAGTATTTGTTGAGGTTAAATTAGTTCATAAGTTTTCCTAATACCTTAAAGTAATATTGACTGAGCTTTGTTTCCCAATGATCACAGTCAAAGATGATTGGACTGGTTTAGGGGGTTCCTGAACTTAGATGGGAAAAAAAAAAAATAACATCTTTTCTCTAACCTGTAACTGAAATTAAGTATTGCCTTCCATTATGAAAGTAGGCAACAAAGTATAGGCAACAGTAGTATTAATAATGAATTACTTTGTTACCAATATAAATCCACAGATATTTTAATATTATAGTCCCAGATATCTCAAACTTGAGTTTATATTCATTGTTACTTTCAAATTAAGATAGTTATTAATCCCAATGTTAGGTCTTGTCTGCGGCCACCCTGCCCTGACCGCGCGGGATCCCGTCTGCCCTCCAATGTTAGGTCTCGTTATTTAATGTTAATAAAGACATTTATTACTATTTCACAAAAATTTAAACATTTAATAACTTTCAATATAATTCATTTCCTTTTTATTCCTATTTATTTCACTTTAATGCATTTAAAAACATTGTTCTGAAAAACATTGTTCATAGACTTTACCAGATTGCCAAAAAGGGTCCCTGGTACCTTTGTAGCCTCCAGTTAGCCCTATAAAAGCTTATTGAATGCATGGTGGAAAATGGATGGGAAGGTAATGGAAAGGAATTGAGATTTGGATGATCCAAAACCTTTTCTTATTCCATCCCTCTTCCCTAACAGATTATTTCCTTAAATTCCCTAATTTCCCTAATTTCTTTTTAGGCTGAAGTTAACTTGAGTTTACATTCAGCCATCCATTTAATAAGTAATGCCTTTTTTGTGCACCCAATGGCAGATTGAATAGAGAAAAGAATAGAGGCAGTTTGGATTAAATACTGGCTATGGCTAATCCAGAAAAGAAATTCTACATGTCTAATTAATAGTTAACATGTAATTAAATTACTCTAGTTGTCTATGGCTAGGTACATCTTTCTGGCTTTATCAAAGGTAGCCCCATTTTCTGGTCCCCTTAAAACTTTGTCTTCTGGTCAAGCCTCTTCCTTTCAACCAAGTTCATCTGAAGGAGGGTATGTCAAGTAACTACAGACTTTTATTCTTCTAATCATAAAAATTAACATTTAAATAGAAATTCTTGGCCGGGCATGGTGGCTCACGCCTGTAATCCTAGCGCTCTGGGAGGCCAAGGTGGGAGGATTGCTTGAGCTCAGGAGTTCAAGACCAGCCTAAGCAAGAGTGAGACCCTGTCTCTACTATAAATAGAAAGAAATTAGCCGAACAACTAAAATTAGCCGGGCATGGTGGTGCGTGCCTGTAGTCCCAGCTACCTGGGAGGCTGAGGCAGGAGGATCACTTGAGCCCAGGAGTTTGAGGTTGCTGTGAGCTAGGCTGACACCATGGCACTCTAGCCCAGGC